GGTCAACCATCTGTACCGACAACATGGTGCCAGTTTGCGAGCAAGTTGTGAATCTTATAGGAGCCTAGACTTACAGTAGAAGGGATTGTGCCCGAAGTTAGCGTCATCTTCAAAAGAGTCTTTAGACATAGCATACTATAGAGTGAAACAGATGATGATCAAGGAAGCAACGTCCGGCGAGATGTGGGATGGGAGAGGAGCGCAACCCAAGTTGAAAGGCTTCATGTGGGTCAAGAATGCGACAAGCGATTACCACAATCACAGCAGAACAGTACGCTCTCTTTTGAACTGAAATCGTCGAAGCCAACTATTCCTTCTGCAGAAACTTGCGTCAAGGACGAAAACCGCATCTGGAGGAAGTTGAATGAAGCGATTGAAATATACAAGGCGAAAGGCAAAAAAATACACAGAGCAGGGTAACACACAAAAAGGAGGTCCAAGGAAACGGATAGGACTTGGATATTTCTTCGAAGGAACCCCTTCATCACAGCTTCCACCGTCATGAGAGAGTGAAGCTGTCTATCTGTATCCGTAGTTGACAGATAAAGCTTACGGTATTTGCGTCAGCGTGAAGCAGATCCTCGGTCTAGTAGTTCCCGTATAAGTTCCTGCGGCTGTTGCCTGATGGCGGAAGCAATATTTGAAAAGTACGAACCCCTCCCGGTCTCGTCCCTCGATATGACCCGCTTTCACAACCTACCTACGCTCGAAATGCCTGAGATGTGGAAGGCGTGGCTCCATACTTCAGCAAAATGTCGCGGTGGCTGTGCTTTTGATGAGATACTTTCATTTCTACGACTGTGATCATGTGTCTCAAACCGAAGTATCTCACGCGTAAACCTCTCTCTGCTATGTTAAAATGCCACGCCTACTCCATCTCAGGGACAAGGGGTATGGATGCTAGCTAGGGCTATGTATGGCGCTTGTAAAACTAAAGATCAGTAATCACAAATCTTTTCTTAATGCAGGAAGTGACCCTTCAGCAGCCAAAACCACTTTCCACTTGTTTCTCACAACGCTGCTGCGGGTCGGGTGGGAGCGGTCCTCTCAAAGCTATTCGGCCAACTCAGCTACGGTTTATGGTGTTTTTCGTTACTGTGTTCTTCAATCTCTGGGATCTCAGACATGTCAGTTCAACGGATTCTGAAAACACAATGTCGAGTGGGGTGTCTGAAGTAAATGCTCAGAGTATTTATCCACCCCGTTACGTAAAACAAGCAGCACACTTACCACCGTGGGTCCTGGTCATTACCGTGTGCGAGGTGAATAGGTCTTTAGCTGCATTAGGCGAGGTCACTTACTCTGCTTAAAAGTGGTTAGTGAAGGAGTTGGACGGTAGCAATACGCGAGCCTCGCCCATACTCCGCCCGCGCTGTCTCAAGGTTTAGCCCTTGCGGCGATACTGAAATAGTGCACGTACATGCACTCAGAGTAGAGAACAAGCTTAAGTGAGCATAGGCGGACAGGTTGCTCGTTTGGCCATGGTTATGCGTGCGGCTGGCTATGCGGCAGCGCCGTGAAAACTCCTTGGAGACGGTTACCGAATGTCACTACCCATCAGCCCCAATTCTGGACATTTCTGAGCGGTCCACGATCCGTTTTCACTCAGAATCAAGCGCTGTTCTGCTTATCGCTCGGGGAAGGGCATTTTGCATTTTCGCTGACTTCTTTTGCTGATTTCTATTAAAGGCAGTTGGCACGATGATTGGGTGCTCGGCCTAAAATGCTAGTAGGGCGCTATATAGTGGGGAAATGGCGAAAGAACGGAGTGAAACGGTCAAAATCCTGCGAAAAAAGAGCTCCGTTCTCACTGTGTTAGTAATCAATTTTGGACGAGTTTCCCGAAGGCATCTTACCAATAACCGCTACCGAAGGTACGGCTGCAT